TGTGAGCGTTGTTGACTGAAAGTAGCACCTGTCGAACGGATGAATGTATCCGACTATCCCCGTCACACTGGTAGCGATTAACGTCCCTAGGCGAAGACTACCGAAGGGCGAAAGATCTGGTTTGACCGTAACTATAAACAGACGATATGCGTGACACGTATGACATTCGGTAAGCATGGCCTTTGAACCGGCCGCTAAAAGCTGACTGCATCGTCTTCGAAGGATCTAAGGCCGGCGGCCGTGGGGTCCGTCGCTGTTCGCATAAGCCGATCCTGCCTGCTGCCGGGCGAAATGCGGGTATGAATTCCTCCAAGGTGACGGGAGCAACGACTGGTCTGTGACATTGACCATTGTCGATATTAGGACGCGCTCTGCGTCTAAGGATTTCCGCTAGGCACGGACGGAAAGTTTGCAGGGTTGTTCAGTCGTTCGCGATTCCGTTTAGCAATCTCAGCATTCCGCAGCTTGTCTAGACGCATTTGATAGAAGTTCCTGTGCAGGGTCAGTATGTAGCTGGAGCAAGGAGTCTGTAAATGCGGCCCCACTTGTTGAGTTGGTATATGCGCGGGCCAAGTTCAGCCTGGGCTTGATCCTTGGTTTTGGAGAGCTCCTTGATCTGCATAGGAAGTTAGTACAGTGATGAAGTGAAGGTGCACATCACATGCTTTGTCGTCTTTGGCTTTCTCATCCTGCTTGTCCTCCTCTGCTTCTTTGCCTTTGGTCTCCTTCTCTTTCTCCTTGTCCTTTTCCTTATCTTTCCCTTTCCGCTTTTCTCGCTTAAGCTTCTGCTTCTCCTCGTACTCTTTCTTCACAGCTTCGATCTCACGATCCAGCTCTTCTTGCTTCTTCTGGTCTGCGACTCGTTTAGCTTCGTCCGCTTCCGGTTGACAGAATCCACGGTCGACCAAGTGTCCAGGACATATGTAAAAGAAGTCCTTCAGATAAGTCAGTATCGTTGAAGTACAGCCTACCATCCGTCGTTTCGCACCTTGTTGGTAGGAGTAATCAAAACACTGGTAGATGGCTTGTAGCAAATCCAGCAAGCCTTCGCGGCGTTGTCCGCCACACGGCGAAGATGCCACAGATTCTCCATCGAGATTCCAAATTGTGTTCGCGGTTGTTGTCAAGTCGGCAGCAAAGGCGCGCAAAGTACCTAGGTATCTAAGATGACGCAGAACGCTGTAAAACAGCAACAGACTAGTCTCCTGGTTGCTCTAAGGTCTATATTACTCCACAAATCAACCGAGTGATATGAATGCTTGATGCAGTCTGGGTTTGTAGTGACGAAAAAGGGCGTAGAGGTTAGTGGTTGTGATGAAGGGTGGCTGTGCGAGAGATGCCAGCATTGAAACTAGGCTCGAAGCAGCTTAGTCAGAGTCACTTTGAGGCAACAACGATCAATCCAACGAATAGATTCCCACCATCAGTGTCATCGATGTTTCTGAGGTCCTGTCGAACTCTGAGGCTCTGCAATTCCAGCCCCAAAATCTATCCGGCTCTTAATCTGCGCCTTTTCAGCCCGATCGGAGCTCTGTCTAGCAATTTTGCAAGTGCGTCATCACATTTTCCGTCTTGAAAGAGAACATCTCGACTTATGTAGTCCGTACTAATACACGTCCTAGCCATAAGATCGTTCAGCGAGAATCCAAAATTAAGTATCTCCAACATGGCCGCAGAAACACCCCAGCTCAAATACATCGATGTCGGTCCGCATCCCACCACCTTACCCCATCCACCACTAACCATTCCAGATCGGCATCAACTTCACAGACCCCATCTACCGAGGAGAATACCACGGCACCAAACGGCACGAAGATGACTTTGAAGACGTGATCCAACGTGCCGTGGACGCCGGCTGCAAGAAATTCATGGTAACAGGCTCCGACCTTGAGGAATCCAAACACGCCGTTGAAATCGCCAAAGCGCACCCAGGACAATGCTACGCAACCGTCGGTGTACATCCCTGCTCAGCAAAACACTTCGACACGCATCCTGGAGGCCCGTCTGAACTGCTATCTGCGCTGAAGAGTCTGGCGCTTGAGGCCAAAGAAGCGGGTCACGCGGTGGCGTTTGGCGAGATTGGACTTGATTATGATCGACTGTTTTTGACGGCGAAAGAGCCGCAGTTGAAGTACTTTGAGGCACAGTTGGACATCGCGATTGATGTACAGCTACCACTCTTCCTCCATTCGCGGGCTGCGAGCGAGGACTTTGAGAAGATTCTCACGGCGAAATTGAAGCAGTTGCCGAAACGGGGGCTGGTGCATAGTTTTACTGGAACGGCAGAGGAGATGAAACGGCTTGTTGATCTAGGATTCGATATCGGGGTTAACGGGTGTAGCATGAAGAGTGAGTCTTTTCGAGCCTGTCGCGACTGCTTATTCGGCTGACTTGGTTTTCTAGCCGATGAGAACATCGAAGTCGTCAAGCAAATACCACTTGAGCGTCTGCAGATCGAGACGGATGGCCCGTGGTGCGAAATGCGACCTAGTCATGCATCGGCCAAGTATCTGCAAGACGCACCGCCGCTACCAAAGGCCGTCAAGAAGGAGAAGTTCGCCAAGGGCATGATGGTCAAGGGGCGGAATGAGCCAGCTACGATACCTCATGTGGCACATGCGATTGCAAAGATCAAAGAGATCACCGTGGAGGAGGTTTGCGACGCGTAAGTATATCCTATCCCTTCTGAAATGTACAACAGGACAATGCTAATCATGATGTAGAGCATGGAGGAACTCGATCAAAATGTTTGGACTTGGTGAGACAGCGTAACCCCATCACACCTTACTTGGTATAGACTATGCATATAGAAGATCGATTTGTACAAGAGGAATCTGCTCCCTCGAAACTCGCAAATAAAAACGACCAATCACTAGACCGCACATCCCAAAACACACTCTACTTCCTGTACCACATCCTGGTGATCTTGGTATGCCTCATCTTCTTCTGCAGTTGGAAGATTCCGTACATGAGCGCCTCGGCAGTAGGCGGGCAGCCGGGTACGTAGATGTCTACTGGCACGATCCTGTCGCAACCTCTTGTGACCGAGTAGCTGTAGTGGTAGTATCCTCCTCCGTTGGCGCAGCTGCCCATGGAGATGACCCATCGGGGGTCAGGCATCTGGTCGTAGACCTGTCGCAGCGCTGGGGCCATCTTGTTTGTGAGGGTTCCGGCTACAATCATGACGTCGGACTGTCGGGGCGAGGCGCGGAAAATGATACCGAGACGATCCTGATCGTATCGTGGGGTGGACAAGTGCATCATCTCGACGGCGCAGCATGCGAGACCGAAAGTCATGGGCCATAGGGAGCTCTGGCGGGCCCAGTTGGCTACTTGGTCGAGCGTGGTCCTGTTGCCGCATGTTAGCCTGTGCCTGTGTACATCCCATCCTGTCGCCCTGTCTCATGCTCCGGGGCCTTTTCAAGATATCACATACAATGCGTATTGCATAGCACCCTTCTTTCCCTCCTGACTCGGCAATGGCACCTCGACTCGCGCGGACTTCATCGGTGGTGGCGCTCCAGGGTTGCCGGGGATGGTCGCGGGCGTCTTCATGGTCGTGGCCCTATCCGAAGAGCTCGAGGAGAGGAAAGCAGCGCTTCCGGCGCGGAAGGGCATGAGCGCCGTCGCGGGTTTGGCTGTCCACACTGTCAGTCCCGGTCGGCGGCGAGCTTTCGGGGTGGCGGGGACAAACCTCGCAGAGCCATTGAGGCCGCAGACCGTGTTGTCGAGAACATGATTGCGACAGACACAAGGGAAGGTCGGGAGGGAAGGAGTGGAGAGGCGAGATGTGGGGTGGCGGTCGAGGAGTCGCGAAGTTGTGTCGATGAGGTAGGTGCAGCAAAGTGCTTGGCGGAAATCGATTAGTCGTCGATTTTGGTGGCGTCTGATAGGTTAGCCGGCGATCGCTCCTCCCTCCATCACCCTTTCGGTCTACGTCGGCCAGCCTACTCTGCATACTCCCAGATCCACCAAACCTATCCAAGCTTGTGATATCGTTTCAACATGTCAGGCCGGGTAAGAGTGAAAGTTCCAAGGACTTGGGGTATGCGCTGATGACTGTTCCAGGTCCCGTCCATTGCGTGCATCGGCGTAATTGGCAAGCATGTTAGTACACGTGGTATACATCTCCAACCTAGATAGAATTAACACTTTTGATAGAACAACCCCCTCCATATTTCACTTTTCCCAGCAGAAGAGAGGGCGCCACTGGAATTCCAGTTCCTTCTCTCGTCATGTCTAGACATCTTCGAAGCCCGCCTACCACACAAGACCGCAGATCAAGACTTTGGCCTTCTCCAGGCCGTCGATGAGAGGTTAGCAATGTATGGCTGGCTCACCAATACCGGAGTCAAGTTTGTCATTGTGGTCGACATGGAAGGAAGGCCAGCTACTGCGCTTGACAGCAAAACTTCGACTGCCGTTGGGCTACGAGATGCAGATATGAAACCCGTAAGCTTGAAGCTATAGAGATAAGCGACATCTCCTAACATCCATTAGGCGTTTAGGGCGTTGCAGACAGCTTACATCAAGCTGTTAAGGAACCCGTAAGACGACAGGACGATGCTCGGTTGAGACGCATACTGACTTTGGTGCCATTATGTAGGTTCTACGACCCAGATGAGCACTCTCCAGTCACAGCAAATGCCGAGCAAAGGATCGGCTCGACTCAAATCACAAGTCGGAAGTTCATCCAAGAAGTCAAAAAGATAGCCGACGCATGGTCTCCAGGCGTCACCAGCATTTGATTCCACCTTATACCAAGCACGATACCATGTTGCATCAGGCCGGCGTTTATAGCAAATATTCGATTTCCACGTTCTGATTGCCAACCTCCCTTCGTTCGATGCCGCGTACCACGTCGATAAAATATCGGGACTTCCCAAAAGCGCTAGCGCCGATTGCAGTCTAGTCCAATGTCATGGCAGATCACCTCGGCCATGTCGAACACTCAAGCATCATGCCACATAGACTTTGACTCTTACAACCAATGACTACCAATGCCTTCCACCGGTGTTACCATCACCAACCCCTTGGTGCTCTATCGCAGTCTCATTGCTACACAGAAGATCCGACCTGATCCTGCGCAGCATCGCCTGGGTATGACGTCTACCATTTAGACGAAACTAGTGTGAGGATGTACTAACATGAATTACAGCATTACATTTACAGAAGCTCTACGACCGTTTGATTGACTATGAACCGAGTGTAGAGTATTCCAAGAGACTCCAACAACTTACCAGAGCTGTCGATGCGGGTCAAAATGCATCATCATCGGATACGCATGTCAACCGTTTCGGTAGAAGAGGCGTTTGGACATCTCTTCTTGCGCAAAAAGACAAAAGAGACTCTGTAGCATTGACGCGCGTCCTAACCAGCCACGATGAAGCCATGCAACTGCAAAGTCCACAAGGTCTCATGCTACACGGCGAGGTCGGAACGGGGAAATCCATGCTCATAGACCTGTTCCAAGACTGCCTACCAAACCGCAAGAAGCGACGCTGGCATTTCAATACCTTCATGCTCGACACCATCTCGCGTCTCGAGCAACTCCGCATGTCGAGATCGCTAGTCGCTGGCCCGGGAGCTACTCACGATGAGTATTCCCTACTACTGGTCGCACGCGACCTCATTGAGAAGTCTCCCATCCTCTTCCTGGACGAATTCCAACTCCCAGATCGTGCGGCTAGCAAGATTTTGTCTAATCTCATGACGTCCTTCTTCCAGCTTGGAGGCGTCCTTATTGCGACTAGCAACCGTATGCCGGAAGAGCTAGCCAAAGCCGCAGGCATGGAGTTTTCGCACCCAGTAAACCGGCTCAGTCGCCTGGGATGGAGTATGAGTAAGAGCACGTATACACGTAGAGACGATGGAGCTGGCCAGATGGGAGAGTTCGCTGCGTTCTTGGAGGTTCTAAGGGCCCGGTGCGAGGTCTGGGAGATGGAGGGGAAGAAGGACTACCGGAAGATTGAGAGAGAGGAAGAGGAGGGGAGGAGGGATAGTGTGCAGATGCCTGCATCCGAAGCTCTCGCCAGCACCACGTCAACTTCAACTCCAGTAGCTGGGGCGACAGGTACCGCAGAACTCTCCGACGCACCAACAGATTCGACCACCCCGTCAACCTACCTCCCGAAGAACTACCTCATTCAGCCCACTACGGCCGAAACCATGATCGAATTCGGAGAATCTTTCAACACCATTGTCGAATCCGCAACCAACCACTCCTATCCCATCCCCTGGGAACCCGCAACACTAGCCGTGTACAACCGGCCCTTAGAGATCCCCGCGCAATACAACGGCGTAGCATTCTTCACCTTCGCGGAACTATGCGGCGCAGTTCTCGGCCCCGCAGACTACATCACACTGGCATCCACCTACCACACGTTCATCGTAACCGACGTGCCAGTCATGGGTCTGCTAATGAAAAGCGAAGCACGACGTTTCATCACACTCCTCGACGCCATGTACGAAGCCCGCTGCAGACTAATAATCACCGCAGCCGCCGGCCCGGACGGAATCTTCTTCCCCGCCAAAATCCCCTCCTCTGCATCCAGCGAACCAGGCCAAGAGACCCTAGACTCCGACGCCGTGTACCCAGAAACCTATTCGGAAATCTACCAAGATCTCAACTCGCCCTTCCGACCAAACATTTCTTCCTACTCTTCCGACACGCTGTCTGAAGACGCACTCGAAGACGACCCGCCGAACCGGTCTCGCCAGGCGGGCACGTCCTTCACGGACGAACGCAAGTTTGGGCCTGGCAGCCCTGACTTTGCGAATATAGGGGGTTTGACGGGTGAGGATGAGAAGTTTGCGGTTAAGAGGGCCGAGAGTCGGATTTGGGAAATGTGTTCGAGGAAGTGGTGGGAGAGGTTTGCTGCTGCTGCTTCGTCTGCATCGGCGACGGGTATGGAAAGTGGAGACGGGACCGGTTGGTGGAGGCCGTTGCCGGTGGAGTCGAGACATTGGGAGAAACCTTTTTCTGCTATTACATCTCGTCCTGCTCCTGCTGCTACTCCTGCGCCGGCCCCAGATTCGCTACCGCCGAATACGAAGATCCTGTCTAGAGAGGAGTTGGAAAAAGATCGACAGAGGGAAATGGAGGATATGTTCAAGCATGGGGCGAGTCCGTTCCGGACGCATCCTGATGCGCCGCCGAAGTTTAGCTGGACGCATGCTTGGGGTATGATGACGTGGGGGAAGAAGGCTGGGGCTTGGGGAAAGGGTGTTGAGGGATTGAAGGAGAGGAAGGATGGAGATGAAGTGGATAGTGAAGGAGGGAAAGAGGCTGGCGAGGTAGAGGAGAAGAAGAGGGAGTGAGGTGGACATGTAGTTGAATAGTCGTTTGGGTAGCTTGGTATATATTCATCGTAGATGTGAAGATCAAAGTTCGTATAATTTTCTCTCATTCGAACCACGGATCTAGTCACTGGATATCTCCCTTGTTTACTACAAACGCTTCCAGCGCGGAGATGGCAGCCCATAACCTGTTCTCCGCCTCCTTGAACACAACACTCCTGGGTCCGTAAAAGACCTCATCGGCAACCTCCTCAGGATGTCTAGGCAAGCAGTGCATGAAGCTCCAGTTGTCCTTGGCACCGCCCCGTTTCGCCAGCTCAGATGTGATCTGGAAGCCTGAGAAGGCTTTTAGGCGTTTGGCGGTTTCCTCTTCCTGGCCCATGGACACCCAGGTATCTGTTACGAGGATATCAGCGTTCTTGATGGCTTCTTCGGGTGTGTTTGTCTCGAGCAGTTTTCCCGGGTGGGGAGAGGTTTGCGCAGCGTGGGAGATGACTTCGCGCATTGCTTGGGGGATCTCGTAGCCAGCGGGGGTTGCGACGGCGATGTCGATGCCGAGTTTTGTTGCGCCGATGGCTAGGTCGAAGAGGACGTTGTTGGCGTCTCCTATCCATGCAATCTTCAGGCCTTCGAGACCGAGAGAGGTGGAGGATGTGGAGGGGTAGATCTCGGCCATGGTGAGCAGGTCGGCGATGATCTGGAGGGGGTGGTACAGGTCAGATAGGGCGTTTATGACGGGCACGCTCGAGTGCTTTGCGAGGTCGGCTACGTCGGAGTGAGGGCCTACGCGGGCTACGATGGCGGCGGTCATGCTGGAGAGGACGAGCGAGGTGTCGTAGAGAGACTCGTTGACCTGGGATGCCATGTCAGCGGGCAGTCGGGATGTGAAAGGAACGACCGTACACCAAGTTGAATATCGTCCTTGCCGAGAAACATGGGAGAGCCACCAAATGCCGCGATGGCGCCTTCTGTCGATACCCTCGTGCGCGTGCTCCGCTTGCTGAAGGTCATTGCGACGGTCCTGCCTGCCAATGCCCCGCGCATCGAATGCGGCACCTCGCCTGTCTGCTTGATGGTCGTCTTATGTTGGTGTGCATTTTGGACGAGCGTGGTCAGCTCCGCAGGCGTGAGGTCTGCTATGGAGAGGAGATGTCGAGGTGCGAATGGCGATGTCTGCGGTGTCGCTGGTGAGGTAGAGTAGCAGCGGCGCAAGCTCCGCAGAGCAGCGGGCGAGGGACGGAAAGCGGGCATGTTGCTTCAATGGCGTATCTGAAGCTAGACTGAGTGAACCCAAAATATTTATGTCGTCCCAACAGCAGGCAATTGAGTCACACACACCAACCTGTCAGCAGTGAATTATTGTGAAAGCGCACTAAGGTGACGCATGTTTGTGGAGACGCTGGGGTCGGGGCTAGCGGCCGCGGCAGGCACGGGCACACGTCGCTCCTGGGCGTCTTATCCGGCCCAGGCAGTGGCTGAGTTCATGACGAGACGATGAACAAGACCCTCCACCACCCGTCAACCGCCCTGTTTCCTTTCTTCCTTTCACCTCGACCCCCTCCATCTCTCCGCATGTCATGTCCCTCGCCTGGACGCCCCTCCGTCTGAAGATGGACAACCCCGAAGAGGAGCAGTGGGGCTCCGCCGCCAACACCCGCAACTCTAGTTCGCGCCCGGCCTCGCACAAGTCCGCCCGCTCGTCGCGCTCAGCACGCTCGCAGCAGTCGAGTCGCACCACCGAACAGACGCCGCTCCTGTCGCAGGAAGACCGCGATGAGCACGACAGACCAGACGACGCGGAAGCCACGCCCGCGACACGCTCGTTGCTGCGCTCGCTCAGTGGCTCCTCAGATAAGAGCGGCAGTGGCAAAGTCCCGCTGTGGAAGAAGCGATGGCCGAGCATACTGGCTCTCATCCTGCTATGTCTGCTCGTCGTCTTCATCATGCTCGGCTTCCTCGCCAAGGAGAGCATCGAGGAGTACTCGATGCAGGCCGCCGACTTCAAGCCCACCAAGCTTTCCATGGACGGCTTGACAGACCACGGCGCGAAGGTGCACATAGAAGGCGACTTCACCATGGACGCGAACAAAGTGAAGAAGCAGAGCGTGCGCAACCTCGGCCGCTTCGGCACCTGGATTGCGCACGAAGCTGAGACGGGGCCCTTCGACGCCGACGTCTACCTGCCCGAGTACGGCAACGTCTTGATTGGCACGGCCAAGATACCTGGCCTGAAGGTAAACATCAGGAATGGCCACACGACTCATGTCTCGTTTATTGCGACCGTCCAGCCTGGCTCGCCCGACGGTATCCGCAGCGTCGCCAACGACTGGATCGATGGCCGACTGGGGCAGATAAGGCTCAAGGGCAAGGCTTCAGTCCCTCTCAAGTCTGGATTGATCAACATTGGCGAGCAGCTCATCGAGCAGTCCATGGTCTTCCAGAGCGGCGACATCCCTACTCTTCCCCACTACAACATCACGAAACTCAACCTCGGCGAGGCCAAGCATGGGCAAAAGGGTCTCGGTGCCGACGCCTCTATCGTCGTGCAGAACGACTTCCCTGTCCAGATCACGCTGCCTCCAGTAGCTGTCGACGTGGGCATTGAGGGCTGCTCGGCATCCGACAAGCACATCATGCTTGGAACCGCTCAGACTGGCCAGCTCGAAATCAAGCCCAACTCAGACGTCAAGGTCGATGTCACTGGCAATGTCGACAAGCTCTCAGATCGCATGACTGAAGTCTGCCCCAACTCGGCCAAGTCTCCGCTCGACGCCTTCTTGGGCGACTACATGAAGGGCCAAGACGCGACGATTTACATCAACTGCTGCAAGTTCCCTGACCCAGCCACACCCGATTGGGCTCGTGAGCTGCTAAAGGACATCACTGTCCCGGTCCCATTTGCCGGAAAATCCATGGGAAGCCTCATCAAGAACTTCTCTCTTGCCGACATGCACTTCAGCCTGCCCAACCCCTTCGCTGAGCCTGGCACACCTGAAGCCCGTCCCAAGATCTCTGGTATCGTCAATGTCGATATCGGACTACCCCACGAGATGAACTTCCCAGTTGATGTCACCCAAGTCAAGGCTGATGCTGACATCTACTACCACAAGAAGAAGCTCGGAAAGATGAACCTTGAAAAGTGGCAAAAGGCAAACTCCACCCGCATTGAAGGCCATGGCTCCGAAGGACCTTCCCTCCTTGTTCAATCTGTTATCAAGAACGCACCCATCGAGATTCTCGACGATGACCTCTTCAGTGAGGTTGTGCAAGCTCTGCTCTTCGGCGGCAAATCGATCCTGATGGACCTCAAGGCTGCGGTCAGCGTTGGCGTGGATACGCCCATGGGCAAACTCGCAGTGCGAGGCATTCCGGCGCAAGGTGTCGTACCAGTCAAACGTTCGTAACCAGTTCGTGATCCAAGTTTGGCCGCAATTCCTGCAATTAGCTAACTTTTGGCGTTCAGCGATTCGTGGCGGCAAAGACGCTCAGCCCGGTGACGGCAAAGACGAGGCGAGCAAGATCAACGTACAGGTTGGTAATCTAGCTATTGTGGAAACTTCGCCCACTTCCCTTACCATCACGGCCCTCGTCAACTTTACGAATCCTTCGAAATACTCTGCTACGGTCCCTTACTTTAACATCAACATTCTAGCCAATGGCTCTCACATTGGCAGTGCGACGGTTAAGGATATGGAGGTTTCTCCTGGTAACAACACGAACAAGCTTGCCTCTGTCCTCTGGGATCCCTACACATACGGTGGCGACGAGGGCAAGAAGATTGGAGCAGAACTACTCTCCCAGTACATCTCAGGTACGTCCATAACTGCCAACACCACTCATCCATTCACTAACGTAGCTACCAGGCTACAACACCACGATAACCGTGCAAGCTCACGAAAAGTCCGTCCCAGCCGTTCCCTTCATCGGCCGTTTCCTCTCGCAATTCCCCATCGAACGCCCCATGCCGCACATGTCCACCCCCAAGAAACCCGACGACGGCTCCAACCCCGACCCAGACGATGATGGCAGATCTCACTTTATCCGCGGCACCACCATGCACCTCATAACCAGCACCGCCGTCTTCACCCTCGCCTCCCCCTTCCGCTCCACCACCATGTACATCACCAGCATGGACGCAACCGCCTACTACGAAGGCCACACTGCGGGCAAAATCGTCTACGACTCGCCTTTTGCTGTTCCGCCTGGCCTGTCGGAATCCCCTCGTCTGCCCGTGGACTGGTCGTTTGGTAGTCTTGGTTACGAAGCTATCAAGAGGGCGCTGGGTGGGCAGTTGAAACTCAGTGCTTTTGCGTATGTGGGTGTGAGGATTGGAGAGTGGAGGGAAGATATTTGGTTCAAGGGTGGGAAGATTGGTGCGAATGTTAGGCTCTGAGTGGTTGTTGAGAATGTTGTATTCGTGTGTATACTTGGATGGGTTGGACTGTACACGCCTGGTCGCGTTGGTTGGGTTACATCTACAAAGGCAGGAACGGCGTTGAGGTTCTCGAAATTGGCTACTATAACGCTCTTGACGTATCAATAAGACATATTTCCATTTTATGAATATCCGTGTTCCGGTTTCTGGGTGTTCTTCACTCCACGAGTACACCTCGTGATGTCTTTCGCATTGGGCACGTTGTCTGCATGAACAATCGCTTCTCATTCTCAGCGTCATGGCAGTTAGCGCCATATATTTCGTTACGCCTTCTGCCAGCGAACTGGAAACCTATCTCTTGCCACGGACCAGGCAGCCAGCCCTCATTGTAGACATTAAGACTCGTGTCGTATGTGCGCCGTATCATTCCGACCTAACCAGAGGTTCGACCAATCCATCATCCAGCCGACCATTCGATCAAGCAACCTTCCATCCAGCTCCAATCAAGACCAAAGACAAGAAAACGCCCAGTATGCAATAGCAAAAAAGATTGATCCCGACCTATCTCAAACACCATGTCCGATATGCAAGCCCGAATATGCCCGTCCGTTGCCAAAGGAAAAAAGAGTGAAATCCGGACAAACGC